TTGAATGTCTGCCTGGGGCTCACCCACCTGGTAGGACGGTGTAGGGCCCCTCACAGCGCAGGGTGCAGCTCCAGAGCCTTGGGGTCCATGGGGGAGACTCAGCCCCGCCCTGCACGCCCCCTGTTCTTGGTGCTCCGCCCACTGCACTCTGGATGCTCAGGATGAAGGGTCAGGGGACGGTGGGCGTCGGGGTGCTGGAGGGGGAGTGGGCGGGTGCGTCACACTGAGGAGGAGGGGCGGGCTGCGGTGACGGGGATGACACAGTGTGGTAGGTGGACATCGGGTGAGCCACGCCCATGGGTGGGCTACCACCTGGTCCTCGGAGGGTGTCAGGGACCTGAGACCACTGCTGACCCTGGGAGTGGGTGCCGGGGGCCTGATTCTGGGGGCTGGGGCCTGGGGGCTGGGGCGAGGCCTTGGCTGTCCCCGCGCAGACACTGACCGGCCCGCCCAGTAGGGCTGTGGGGAGGCCAGGTGACATGTGGAAAGTTCTGCAAACGGTCGAGTGCGGTCCCCTGTGTTGTGTAAATAACAGGGGAGCCGCTCAGCACCCTGCCGGCTAGACCAGCGCCTCTTCTCGGTCCCCGTGGTTCTCAGAGGGGGTTCCTGGGCAGCCAGCGTCAGCGGGAACTTGGTCGATATGAACTTTAGGGCCCACCCAGACCCTAAAATCAGAAACTCGGAAGTGGAGCTGCCCATCTGTGTTGTAGGATCTCCTCAGGGCTCTGATACCGGCCGAAGTGTGGGGGCCCCTGTGTGTTCACGGGCTCCCCTTCCTGGCTCAGAGCCCCAGACATGTTTGACCTTTTGCGATCTTATCCTCACCCTCCCCCACACCAGGGGCCTGTGTGCTAACAACAGTGCCTCCACTTACTGAGGCCTGGGGGACAGGCACAGGCCGGACCTCTCGTGGGTCAGGATTTTCTCTCCATTTCATAGATGAGAACACAGAGGCACAGAGAGGTGGAGTGACCTGCCCAAGGTCACACAGCTGGTCCACGGGAGCAGGATCGCAGCCCGGGTCGGGTAGCTCCCCCAGTTAACTCTCCGTGGTGATGGTCTAAGCCCGGTGAGTACTCCCCTCTCCCAGCCTTGCTGAGGACCAAGGGCCGGCTCCGAGATGCCCTGGTCAGCCGCCACCTCCTCCCCCTCCTCCCCCTCCTCCTGCCCTCCTGCCCTCCTGCCCTGCTCCCCTCCTCCTGCCTCCTCCCACCCCATTGTCTGCATCTCCCAGCAGAGTGTGGGCTCCCTGCCAGCCTTCGCCCACCACTGCACCTTGAACCCCATCCAGGGAGGGATCGCCTGCTTTCCTGGTGGAGGTGGCACTGGCGGTCCATTCCCGCCCGGTGCCCGGCCGAGTCGTCATTAATGCGGAAAAGGAGCGTTATCGGGGCTGCCTCCGGAGCCCTCTCTTGCCCGAGTCCCTGACGCGTTAATTACACTTGATAAATGCTCTTGTCTAAAGATAACTTTTGAACAATGGGCCAGTCACTCACGTTGCTTGGGGACCTGCTCCTGCAAATTGCTGGGGTGGCGGTTCAGAGATCCCGGGCCCATCTCCTGCTGAGATGGTGCTGGGAGCGTGGGCTGGGCCCCTGCACGCCCAGGGCCTGGCACAGGGCTCCGGGGCTGGGGTGGAGCGGGGAGACCACAGCGTGTCTAAGCCCAGCTCGGAGCAGGCTCTGGCCTCCATCGCCGCGGTTCCCGCCACAGCCCCTTCCGGCTCAGCACCCTGTCCGGTCGCCACGGCAGCACCATCCCAGGCTGAGCACATGGGGGAGACAGGGGCGCCTCCAGAGGTGACTTTCGCTCCTGGGGGGACCATCTCCCGGGCATCCTGCTCCCAGCGCCCTCCCGCTCCCGGAGGAAAAAGCCTGCGATGGTGAGGCGGCTCCCGGATCAGGGCGACAGAACCCTGCCCCCCGGAGCCCAGCACCAGGAGACGCCCCTGCGTGTGCCCTGACACCCAGATTCCAGCCCAGGCCCCCACCAGGACGGCCAGAGACGTGGGGGAGCGCGGGGTGGCACCGGGGAGCCCGGCGGAGACCAGGAGAATCAGAGACAGAGCCCAGCCTGAGGGGGGGCCTGAGTGTGGGGTGGCTTGTCATGCAGCATGATTGTAGCACTGGATCGCTCTCTACCCTTATTTTAAGGTTGGGGCTGGGGCCTCCCAGCTCTCAAGGGCAGGGGCCCTGCTCGGAGGCCTGTGTGCATTGCCCTGCACCGTGTCCACGGGGCTCAGAGGCCCCGGCTCGGGAGGTGGCACGGAGCCCCCACGTGGCTGCTCGCTAATCCCCTGCCGGGCTCCAGCTCAGGGCACCTTATCTCCCCGGCCCAGCCGCTCAGTCTTAATTTGGTTCAGGCTCACATCGGCAAGCACGGGGGAGCCCCCCTGGGAGGCGGGGCTGCGCGGGTTGGTCTCGGGCGTTGGCGGCAGATGGTGATCACAGGCTGGAAGCCGTTCTTTAGGTGCCACTTTGCCTTTTCAGAGCCTCGTCATGCCTGCTGCCCGGGGCCTGGCGCCGGGGCCCGCGAGGGGGTCGGAGCACCTCTCCGGGCTGGCCTGCCTGGTCTCACTCCCACGGCTGCCACCAGGAGCCATATGGTGTCAGGAAGGGGCCCCAAGGCAGGTGGCGTGGGTTCAAGTCCCGGGCTGCCTTTCACTAGCGTGTGGCCCTGGGCACATTGCTTCCCCTCTGGCTTCGACTTTGTCACCTGCTGTGCGAGGGTTCGGAGATATCTGAGGCTGGGAGGCCCGCAGAGCCGATCCTGAGCTGGACGCTGGGGACGTGGACATGAATCGGGCCTGGCCCAGAGGACACACATGCTGGTGGAGGTGATGGCTGCCCGTGTGGACAGTGGTCACACGGATCGGTCCAGGGTGGGCTCCATGCAGTGACTCAGGGACCCAGCCGGGAAGGAGGCCTGGAGCAGGGCTGTGGCCAGAGGCAGGGACACAGCTGAGTGGGTGCAAGGGCGGGGCCCGGGTCCTCCTGGGGCCTTTCCTCAGAGAGAGTCCTTCCTGCTCAGAGCCTGCGCCCCGCTGTCTGCCTCCTCGCCCCTTCCCTCCCATCGGTGTTAGTGTCTCAGTTCTAACGCCATCTCTCAGGGGGGGCGGGGGGAGCCGGCACCGCATGGGGCCCGGGCCCGCTGACTCCATCCACCATCGCGTGGAGCCGCGAGGCCGGGAAGGATGCTGCTGGCATTTGAGAGCGGCCTCTTCCGTGCCTGGTAGATGCAGAGTCGATAATGATCTTCTATTTTTAAGAAAGGCCGGCGCCGTTGGTGGTGCCTCGAGGAAGGGCAGCCCTGCATGACTCCAGCTTTGACGAATAATCTCCACTCCATCGAAATGTCCTCGCTCGCCGCGTGAGAGGCTTGTCAGTTAC